AAGCAAAGTCATATTCCGGCTCCTTGGGGAATTTCAGGCTTTCAGGGGAAGGATGAGCAACCTCAGCCCTGGGAAAGCTGTGGGATCCCAGGGGGAAGCAGAGGCAGAGCCGAGCAGGGGAAGGAGGGATGTCCTGGGCTGTTAGGGCCTTCAGCCTATGATTTTTCCAGGGATATTTTCTATATGGACCCTGTAGATGCCTAGTTCACCTTCTAACCCACACGTCGTTCATGTTTTTCCCCATCCATTCATTCTCTGCCTCATCCAGCTGGAGAGAGAGCAAGTGGCTGGCGGGAGGCTCAGCACCTGGTGGAGGCCACCCCAACACGTTTCCCCATCCCTGGAAGTGTCCAAGGCCAGGTTGGAGGGCGCTTGGAGCAACCTGGAATAGTTGAAGGTGTCCCTGCCTGTGGCAGTGGGCTGCAATGAGATGGTTTTTAAGATCCCTTCCAGCCCAAACCATTCTCTGATTTTCCTGGCACCTGCAGCTGCTGCTGCCCCTGGGTACCCCCCGGTCCATCTCCCGGTCCCAGTAATCGGTGCCTCCGGGAGGGATGCAGAGGGCACTGGAGCCTGTGCTGGGATAGCCGGGAGGGCTGAGGGATGGAAGGAGAGCTGGTGCATCGTGCTGAGAGCAGGCTGGCAGCAGCGCGCTGCCACACGCGATCACACAGTCCCCTCTAGTGGATATTCCTCTTCCATCCGCATGGATGTCCTGCCCACTCTGCGCTGGCACCACCGGGCTCCAAAGCCTGGCCCCAGCAGTGACCGTGGGACACCATCCTGCTCCTCTGCCGAAACCGGGCACTCTGGCAGGAGCAAAGCCCCATCCAGCTGCCTCCAGCTGCTCCATCGCTTCCTCTCTTCCTTCCCCTCCTGCGTATTTGGGTGACTCATCCTCCCTCCCGCCCCGTCCCCTGCCCTGGCTTTGTCCCACACCACCCGCTGCCCTTGCGTCAGGGCTGGCCCCGGCTGGCCCCTGCGTTCCTGGCTCTCCCCTCCGCTGGGAACTTCACACTGCTCGGAGTTATTTGGGCAGTGGCCAGCATGAGAACGAGCTAATGAGCACCCGCGTGGTGACTGCTTCCGAGGATCCAGGGGTGAGCATCACTTGCTCCTGCCCTGCCAGGGGCTGCTACCTTGGTCCAGTTGGACTGGGGAGGAGTGGGATGCTTTCAGTTGGGTGTTTGCACATTTATTCAGCAGCTCCTGCCCATTGGAAGGGTGCAAAGGTTCCCACCAGCACCGGCCTTGGGCACTGCCCTGTGCTCAGGGCCAGGGCACTACCATCTCCTTACCCCTCCTCTCTGCCTCTGCCTGCTTTAGAAACTGCTTATCACCTGGAAGATATGTGATATCTGCAGCCTGAGGCTTTTCAAGGGGAAAAAGCCACATAGGTGAGCGTGGAAGAACAGACACAGCTGCAGACCAGGAGTTCATCGTGCTCCATCAGCATGCAGTCCCTCCACCTTGCCCCATCTCCTACTGGAAATGTGACCCTGGTCCCAGTGCCACCATCCAGCAGCCCCAGCTCAGGGCAGAACTGATGTCAAACCCTCTGCCTCCATCCCTGGCCAGGGAAGGATGGTGTCTCCTCTGGGGAGCTGGGACCTCCAGTGCAGGGTGAGGTAGTGGGGATGGAGGAGGAGCTGTGGCCCAACACTTGCTGCCAGGAAGCCCCAAAAAGCAGCTGACAGTGCAGAGAGGTGCTTGTTGCTAAACCAGCCCTGGAACAGCTTTATGGGATCCACAGCAGCATCCTGGGGAGGTGTACATCCAGTTCAGGCAGTGCTGTTTGAGCTGGCAGCTGAATCACCTTGTCCCCATGCTGGCCAGGAGTCCCTTGGTGTCCCAGCTCCAGCAGGACACCTCCAGCTCACAGATGTGATCCTGGTAACACCTTGTGTTGTGTCCTGGAGCCACACCAATACAAGGAGCACAAGGAGCACACAATCAGGTTCTGTCCTGTGATTCTGAGATGGTCCCACAGTCCTCCCTCCCTGGCTCTGGTCCCGTGTGCCCAGCTGGGCTATGGCACTGCTCACAGCATGCAGGTTCTGGTCATGCACAGGGATGCTCATGGCATAGCCCCACAGAGGGCAGGGGACACCTCACAGCCTGGGTGTGTGGATGTGGAGCAGCCAACAGTGATGGATAAGGCATAAAATCCCAGGGAGAGCCAGCCCATGACAGTCTCAGCCCCTTTTATAGCTTCTGCTCTGTGGCCCAACAGGACACACACTTCACAGCTTTATTTATTATAAAATATCTTTAGGAAGAAGAACTCTACCCAAAACCACCCCTTGGCTTTATTTCTGCCCATGGGGACTGTGTCTAACAGGGTGATGGTACTGCCAGGGCAGCAGGGCTGGTTCCAGGTTTTCTGGACGAGGTGACATTCCCAAACCTGGAGATGAAACCCCCCTACCCCCACACAGAGCCACGGCTGGGAAACTGCAAACCCCAAATTCCATTTCTAGGCAGCTGGATGTCAAACAACCCAGTGTTTATTGCAGTGCTCCTCATTTGCCTCGGGTTTATAGATGTACATTCAAAAATAAAAGCTCTGTGTATCTCAGCTGGACACAGACAGGCTTGAACGACGAGCGGGCTGATCCATCGGTGATGGAGTCACCTCCCAGGCCCGAGCGTGGCAGTAAACAGTCCAGCCACCAGCTCAGGATCTCTGTGCATGGAGCTGGAGCCTCAGGCACGAGAAACCCCAGCTCTGCTTTCAAGTATATTTGGTGTGAACCCACATGGTCTCTCTGGCATCACATCTCATCACAGGGAAAAGTCCTGCTGGCCCCAGAGAGCCACATCCCTCGGGGGGAAGATGACAGCTTTGGGCAGCTGCTGAATCGATGTGCCAGTTTGTTTTGGCTCAGTGAGCAGGGAGAAGGCTCTGGGGAGCTTGGAGGCAGCTCATATTTACATGGTACCATTAGAAAAAAACCAGCTTGGCCTCTATGAAGTCACCCCAGCTGCACGGAGGGCCAACAGCCGGTGGAGGTCTGGTGGAGCCAAGGGGTTCCTGATGTTCAGCTGCCCATGGTTCTCCCATGCTGTCCCAGTTCCCAGCCTGCAAACCCTCCAGCCAAGGCAGCTCTTGGCCAGGAGGCTGCACCTCAGGCAGCTGCACATTCCAAATAGACCCCTCCAAACCAAAACCATCACCCAGAGAAGCACACAGTGGTTTAAACAGGAAAGAAAAATGAAAAAAAAAAAAAAAGAAAAAAAAAAAACGATGCATGTGGTATGTAAGTCCCTGGGCCAACATGCCAACTTTGTAAACTCCCCCATCCCAAGAAATAGGGAAAGCCCCAAGTGGACACAGGCCCCATCCCTGGCCCTGCAGCACCCAGGGAAGGCACAGGTTCCAAAGCACCAACTCCAGAATCCCTCCAGGTCCTTGATACAGGAACCGTCTGGCTGCCACTGCTTGAATTACATTATTTGTTGGAAATGTAGCTTTAAGTTCATATACTTTTGCTGATGGGGGCCGACAGGAGATGGGAGAGAGGCAAACCAAAGGTGTGACCATGGAGGGCAGGGTGGCAAACCCTGGCCAAGCCCTGGCTACCACCTCTGCCTGTGGGATTATGTGTTCAGGTGGGGAATTTTAGTGCTGCAGCCAGCAAGTCCTTGGGCCAGGAGGGCAGTGGGATTCTGGACAGCGTGAGGACACACAGCAACGGGGGCTGATGGCTTCTGTGGTGTCAGCAGTGACACACCCAGCTCACACCTGGGGCTTTGCTTGTCCCACTCAGGACAGCTGGGCTGTGGCTGCCCTGTGGCAGTGCCACAGGCAGGGAGGGGATTCCAGGCTCTCCCAGCAGCTGGGATGTCTCTGAGGCCGGGAAGAGCAGCAGCAGCAGCAGCAGCAGCAGCAGCAGCAGCAGCTTTCTCATGCCAGACAGGTGGCTGAAGTTCAAGGCAAGACTGGTGCGGGCTCAGTGAAGCAAAAATGAGACAAACAAGGGAGGAAGAGGCTGTGGGCACAGCTATGCCAAAAACATCCCTCTTGGAGCTGCCCCTTGGTCTAAATCCTCCTTTTTTGGTGGCCAACTGCAGCTTCCCAGGAGCGCTGGCTGCTCCCAGAGTTCAGCAGCCCCTGCACTGTCCCCTGGCAGAGGTGGCTGGTACAACTGCGTGAGCTGTGACCTCTTTGCACCAACCAGGCACTGAACAGCTCTCTGCAGAGTCCCAGAACCAGGGGAGTGGGGCTGGCAGCATGCTCTGTCCCCAGATATCCAGAGCTGGGACTGTGGTGGAGCTGCAGAATAAACTACCCTGTAATTCAGCTCATGGACACCTCTCATGGGTTCCTGTGCTGGTTTTGGCCCAGGGTAGAGTTATTTTTTTTCACAGGGGCTAATATAGGGCTGTATTTTCTGTGAAGAAAATTAACTCTACCCTGGCTGAAACCAGCCTTTAACAGCAACATCCCCCCAGCATCTTCCCTTGCAGTATATGAGAACTGCCAACAGCATCCATGGATGTGCTTGTGACAATCCTCCACCAACACAACCCCAGTGCAGGGAGCCTGGACAGCACCTGCCTGCTCTCCCTGCCCTTCCAGCCACCCCTCTCCCCAGATCCAGGCACTGCCAGTGGGAAAGACCTCGTGAGGCAGCTCCTTGGGATGAAACCCTGCAAGGACTAAACAAATCACATGCATGATCCCTGACCATAACATGGAGGGGAGGATGAAGAGCTGATCTGTGCCATGTAGTGCACCAGGCAAGGGCAGTGAGGGTGACCTTGTCCATCACAAACACCAGGCTGGCCCTGTGGGGGGTGCAGAAGCAGTACAGAGACGCCAGGAGCCAGTGGGAAATGTTCCCCAGCCAGGCTGCCAGGTCCACAGGCACAATCCTGCTGTTGCTCCCTCGTGGCAGGGCTGGGCTTGGGTCTGTTTTGCAAGTCCAGGTGACTGTGGTGCTTCAGCTCACCCTCCTCTTCCTCTCTGCAGCAGGAACAGTGTCTGTCTGTCTGTCCATCCGTGGTTCTGGCCTTCAGCAGGGCTCACACAGACACAGGCAAGTGCTGCAGCCCCAGGTGGCCCTGGGGGCTGGTGTTTAGGTGGCCTGGCCACGGGGGAGGCGTTTGCTGTCCAGGATGGCTTTCCAGTCGTCAGACCAGGAGTGCAGCCGGCGGCTGGGGGGCTTCAGCTGCAGGTGTTTGTTGTGGCAGGCTGTGAAGAGCACGTGCTCCCACGTGGGGTTCTGCTCTGCTCCTGCAAAAGAAGGAAGGTCAGCGGTCTGGACAACTCTGAAACATTGAAGTTGATTTACTCCAACCTGAAGACCCCAAAGTTACAAAAACCAAACAGCATGGAAAGACCAACACCCATCCCTGGCTGCCTCCAGTCACTCCTTCACCCCTCACCTCCTACCTGTTATATCAGGTCTGTCATCTATAAGCAGATCAGCAGAAACCACCGTCTTATCTCGTGTCAAAACAATCTGCTCAAGAAATTCAGGGCCAAAGTGCTTCTCCACCCAGGCATACTGGAAGGCAAGAGATGGCTGGTGAGCTCAGGGAAGGCTGATGGATGGGGCAAGGGGGCTCTTGGTGGAGTGGAAGAAGCCCTGGCCCCTACACAGGGAGGATATCTTTCTTAATAAGTTCATTAGTGGGATGGATTTGGATGCTGCTGGAGTAAAAGTTCTTTTCAAAGCCAAGCAACTTTTGATGTCATGATGAAAGACTAAGACCAAGAGCCTCAGTGCATGCAAATGGATGGATGAGGTAAATTTTACAGGCAGAAGCATGCAGGGGCCAGGCACCTTTCACTGGGCAGTGTGGATGAAGGGGGAGCTGAGATTTAGGCCTGCTCACCTTCTCGTAGGGGCAGTACCGGTACTTCTTGATGGGACTCGTGCAGATGAACACATCAGTGCTGCCACGAGGAGAAAAACACGGGCAGAGTGTCATTGTGAGCCAGAGCAGGCAGCAGCCCAAAGCCAACCCCCCACCACACACAGATCAAACAGATTTAAGACATTAATCCCCCATCTCACAGAAACCCACAGCACAATCGTGTTTGCCTTTTCACAACCTTTGCTGGGAGCAGAGAGCTGAAGGGAAGAGGCTGCATATGGCTGATGTTCTAGGTGACTGCTCCAGGAGTTAAAGCCCTTTCTCCTTTCCCTTTCCTGACAGCCAGGAGATATTTATTTTTAATGCTGTTGTTGTATCAGCACTTCTGCCAAGAGGTGGATGTGAAGACACAGCTGCTCCTCTGTCCATCCCCACATGCCATGGGCAGGTTCATACTCACTCTGCCAAATTTGCCATTTGCTTCACAGCTTCCACAGCTCCAGGGAGAGGATCCAGCTCGATGAAGAAGTTCTTGGATTCCCAGATGCTGATGGCTTTCTCCTGTGAGGGGAAAGCAAGCAGATATTGCACTTCTTGCATTTTTTTCTGCATGTGTGTCCTCACGCTTTGCTAGGACAGAGGATGGGACAGGGAGAACAGTGGGACCACCAGCTCCAGTCCCTCCTGCTCACCCCCCTTGCCTCTGTGGGTGCCTCTGCTCCCCACCTGCACCCACCCCATACAATTCACATTGGAGATGCTCTGAAACAGGCTTGGTTTTGCCTCTGCAGCCCCAGACGCAGAGGAAGCTGCATGTTCCTGTAAGGCTAAACACCAAAGATTATCCAGATCCAAACTAAACCCATCCAGAAGGACAGATCCAGTGGATCCAGCTGACCTGGGCTGGTGGCCCTGCTCTACCATGATGCTCTTCAGGCACAGATGCTCTCTGGCCTAACTGTCTCCATGAGATCACTTAAAATAGCAGCCAGGCTGCACTCCCAGGAGAAAGTACATTACAGGATGAACCACATGTCAGGATGCATGCAGAAGCTCTTCCTCAGGGAAGCCTGGACAAGGTCTAACAGGCAAATAGAGAACCTCCAGGCAAGGATTTGAAACACAACATCCAGGACAGCAGCCTGGGTGCACTGGTATGGCACAGGGAGAACAGAGAGGAGACTACAGGGAGCAAAACCTTGGGGTGAGGGCAGAGTCCAAGGGCTGCCTGCAATGGGTCCAGCACAGCTCTAAGGAACAGCACTGCCTCAAACAGGTGAACAGCTTGTCAGGTGCCAAGGAAAGCAATTATTTTGCACAAACACCGTGTCCTTGGGGAGGAGAGCTGGGAAGAAGCAGGAGCAGCCCAGCCCCAGTGTTGTGATGCAGCTGAGGAGCTGCAGATGCAGAAATGCCCCCAGGCTCCATGGCAAGAACAACCAGCCTAAAAGTTTGCCATGGGGCCATGCAAACATTCAAATTCCACTTGATCTGCCTCAGACTGGGCAGTAATGGTATTTTATTTTTAAGATATTGTCTGCAGTTGCACAAGAGACACCTGAGAAACGCAGCCTGATGCAGCAGAGCACTTCAAACTGCACTAAAGTGTTTTCTTACAGCAGCACTTCCGCAGCTATCCTGCTTCCAATTATGTCAAAAAGCATTTTGCAATCAAGCTTGAAGAGAGAAGAACTAACTCATCTTGAGGAAAACACCCACTCCATTCCCAGAGCCAGAAAAATTCCATGTGCCAGGCCAGACCCTCAATCCCCATAAGGAATTTCCCTGCCTGTCCAGGGCTCTCCATCCTTCCAGGTCTGTGAGCTCAGTGCATTGCTAAACTTTCTCCTTTTCAGAGCTGGGACCTGCAGCTTGTTGGACTCTTTGGCTCCTATTTTCTGGTCCCTGAAGCAGGTCAGTGGTGCTCTCTGGTCAGAGACTGGAATGACCCATGTGTCTGTAGCCACAGAGCAGCTCCTACTCACTTCAGCCATGCTCTGAAACCACAGGGAAAACCAAGACTGCCCTGAGGTCAGACTGTGCAAGTTTTGCTACTTGTTCAGCCCAAGGTTTTGGTGGTTTTACATGATCACAGCAGACACAAGATGAGCTCACTTCATTTAACACATCCAAAGTAGTTACGATCAAGAAAGAAAAAAATTGTTATCGTGTGTTATGTCTGCCAAACTTTGAGCAGCTGCTTTACTGCACAAATGACGTCCTGCACTTCCCTTTCACCATTCCTAGCCAGAAAGGACACTTTATTCCCTCAGCTCCTCAAGTTGTTTAGGACTTTGCCTATGGGAGAGCCCTGGACCTTATTCCCACTCCTTCCCCTGTACCCATCATACTCCTAACAACAGGAACACTTTTATTTACCATAACACATTTCAGCCAGTGGAACTGCAGTCCATGGATGAGACCACAGACATCCACTGGGATGGGAAACTTGTAGAGGCAGAAACCAACTCTCTGCAGAAGTCAGCCTGTTGCTGAATGATAAATTACAATGTAGAGAGAGCTTCTGCTTTTAAGCTTTAATTATTAAACTGAATATAATAATTTCCAGCATGGGAGGGCTTGGGTTGTTTTAAGTAAACCCTCAGATGAAGCATCCAGTTGCATGGTTTGTTCTGAACTGCTCTGCTTCATCCCACCCCTCACATTGCTCTTGAGGAGCTAAATAATCCATCTAGGAATGGTACCAATCCACATGGCCAAATCAGAGCTAGAAAAACCCAGTTATATAATCCGGGGTATTTCAAGACAGATGTTCTGAAATATCCCCTTTCCTTGCATCTATCTCTGTCCAGGCATGCAGAGAAAAAGCCACTAGGCCAACTGATCAGCCTGGTCTAGTAGAAGATGTCCCTCCCCATGGCAGGGGGTTGGAACAAGATGGTCTTTAAGGTCTTTATCAACCCAACCCATCCTAAGAAAGACACAGATGTGCATGAAAAAAGCTGGATATCTGAGAGAAAATGCACTGCTGGAAGCCCTCCTGTATTCCTGTGTTTTCGTGGGAGCTTTTTGGTGGCCCCCACAGCCCTCCCCAGCACTGCCCCCATGACCTGGGGGTCAGACGGTCCCTGAGGGCCAAGCTCTGGCCACAACAAGCCCATGCAAGGAGCCGGGGGAAGCACAACTCACACTCAGCTCGGGTCCCAGGCGCCCGTACTGCTCCGACACCCAGAAGCCCCTCCGGTCCTCCAGGGCAATGTAGGGCTTGTCGGGGTACCTGGCCCTGAATTTCTTGAGGAAGCCTCCCTCGAAGTCAGCCAGAACCCCGTCCATGTCCACCAGCACCCGCAGAGCCCTGCGGGACCCCGCTGTGGGGCCGAGCCCCCTGCCCAGCCCGGCCAAGGGGCTGCAGCGCCGGGGCCGCAGGTGCTGGAAGCAGCTCAGCAAAATCATTGTGGAGGGGGGGCTTGGGGCAGGGGATGGGGGATTTGGGGAAAGGGGCTCAGGGGAGGGAATGGGAGGCTCAGGGAAGCAGGTCCAGGGCAGAGGATGGGGGTTTGGGGCAGGGAATGGGAGTTCAAGGAAAGGGAAGGAGGATTTGAATAAGGGGACGGGGGGCTCGGAGGGGGCTTAGGGAAGGGGAAGGAGCTTGGGACAGGGAATGGGACCCTGGAACAGGGGAAGGGGGCTCAGAGAAGGGGATAGGGGCTTGAGGAAAGGGATAGGGAGCTGAAGGAAGACGACAGGGCTTCGAGCAGGCTATGGAGCCTCGAGTAAGCAGATGGGGGGCTTGTGGCAGGGGATAGGGGGCTGAGAGCAGGATCTGGGGGGGATCCCCAAGCAAAGGGGGGGTCTCTATTTCAAGCACGCACCGAGCCAGCGGGCAGCCCTGTCAAGCGCATCTCTTTGCAGCAGGAGGAAGCAGCGGCGGGGGGGTGCAAGGGGGAGCAGAGGGGCTGCCGGGGGGCGCGGGGGGGATGCAAAAACCCGTCCTGGCCCCCAGCGCTTCCTCCCCCTGCCCGCTCCATCCCACCCTGGCAGCGAGCGCGGAGCGGCGGCGGGAGAGGAGCGGGGGCAGCGGGGCCGGTGGCCGGCTCGGAGCTCGCCCCGACCCGGCAGTGCAAAGCCCAGTTCCTCTTCCCGGTGCCTGCCGAGCCCGGAGCGCCGGCACCGCCTTAAAGCGGCACAAGCGCCCTGCGACAGCGCAGCGGCTCCGCGCCGCCCGCCCGCCTTAAGGCTGCCCCAAACCTCGCTGCCCTTCCCCTCCCTCCCTCCCTGACTCAGTTTCCCGCTCTTGGGATACCCACTCCCTCCCCATGCCCGTCTCTGCCTGCAGAGGTGGTGGGTACATTCAGGTGCACACGTAATATGGTGATTTTCTGGTAAAATGCACTCCTTTCTGACAGTTCTTGCGCCGTGTGACAACTCTGTCCCCAGGCGTGACAAGAAACCTTAAAAGCCAATCTCTGGACCGCAAAGAAGCACCTACTGCACCAAGAAGGGCTCGATGTTCTGACCAGAGATACCAAAGATCTGTTGAAAAAACACTTTGGGGGTTAAAACTGATAAAAAAGAGGGAATTCTTCAAGTGGTACTGACAGGATTAGGCAACCATTGAGCTGGGAAATAAAAGATTTTGCTTGAAGCAATAATAAGGTTCCAAAATTTTTAATTTTTCAAGTACAGAATGTTTTAAAGTGGAATATATTGTATTTGTTCCAGAGGACAAATTTGCTGTTGGGATCGGGTGACCTGGGGAAGGTCACGGAGGAAGGGAAGGAAGGAAGAACTGGCTGGACACGATGGTGATCTCAGCTGGGGCTGGGAGGGGAATGTGTGAAGTTCAGATCTGCTTTCACTTGCACCGCAGGCGTTTTGCTTCCTGCAAGGAATGGGATTTCAACACAGCTGGATGTTCCTGACTAAGCAGGGAGGGAATACATGTAAATTTATGGCTCCCCAGGGCAGTGGTCAGGGCACCAAGCCTGACAAGAGTTCAAGAAGCATTTGGATAACGCTCTCAGGCACAGGGTGGGATTTCGGGCTTGTCCTGTGTAGGGCCCGGAGTTGGACTGGATGATCCCTGTGGGTCCCTTCTAGCTCTGGATATTTTACGATTTTGTGATCTCCACTCAGGTTTCCATCCTTTTCATGGATACTGAACAACCGACACGTTCCCTGCCTGCAACACCTCCCGGACACGCTGCTTCAGCTCCCGAGGGATGGAAAACACAGATCCATGTATTAACCTGTGGGATTCAAATCCTATTCCCTGATACCAGAGCAAACACCCCACGCAATCAGACGACAACCACCACACTGAGTCCCATCAGAGGGGACAAAAGGGATTCAACCTCTGCTGGTGCAGTGCAGCCATTCGGGTGGGCTTCACCTCCCGCCCCGCGGGCAGGACCGGCCACCCGTGTCGGGGAGGGCCCGGTGTCGCTGGGGTCGCTATGTCGCAAGGGGCCTTTATCACATGGGGCCTCGTGTCGCGTGGGTCACCGGTGAAACGAGGGCTATATGTTGCGGGGTTCCCATGTCGCGGGGTTCCCATGTCGCGGGGGTCCCCGGTGTCGCGGGGGTCCCCGGTGTCGCGGAAGGCCTCGTGTCGCGGAGTGGTGACGCGCCATGACGTCACACCGCCCCCCTCCAGCGCTGCTGAGTCACGGCCCCTCCCGCGCGCCTGACGCGGGCCCGGCGGTTGCCATAGCGACCGCGCTTCTCGCGAGAGGCGGCGGAAGTGGCGCGCGGGCGGCGGGCGTCGCGCGACTCCCGCGGCGGCCGTTCATTGGCGGGCGGCGGGCGGCGGCTCCCGGCGCGCGCCGCTCCTCCCGCCCCGCCCCTCAGCGCGCGCGGCCGCGGCGCGAGCCGCCAAGATGGCGTCGGCCCTGGAGCAGTTCGTCAACAGCGTCCGGCAGCTCTCGGCCCAGGGTGAGGGGGACGGGGCCGGCCGGGGGGACCGGGAGGACGGGGCGGGCCCGCGGGGCCGAGGGAGGACGGTGATAGACCGAAGGAGCTCGTCAAACCGCGCGGGTGACGGGGCGGCGGGCCGGGGCCTGCCCGCTCGCACGGCGCTCCCTCAGGCGTGGGTCCGGGGTGCTATGCCCCCGGGGCTGCAGGGCCCGTGCCGGGGTTAATTCGGGGCGGTCCCGAAGAGATCCCGGCGGTGTGACAGGGCATGAGAGGCCGGCGGTGCTCTCACAGAGCTCTGTGGTTCTCCCACGGGGTGGTTTCGGTAGCGGAGCCCGCACCGGTGATCCTGCCAAAATCGGAACCTTTAAAATAGGGGGAGGAGCGAGCATGGCTTGGGCTTTAACTGGGGTTGTGTGGCCCAGCCTGTCACCTCCCCAATGAACGGGCAGGTTGAGTTAAGTGTGGTTTAAAATATATTTCTGAATTGTCCGAGTATCCGTGCTTTACATTTCCAAGCAGAGCATGGACGGAGAGTCCCGCCCCACCACGGAACTGAGACTGCAACCACGTGGCCACAAAGGGTTTTAATAATCACACTTAGAATTCTTTAGTTTCACTGCCAAACACCTAATTTTACTGTGTGTGGGCGCAGCGTTTCCTGGTTCTTGAACTTTCCCTGTGTGTTGGTGCTCTCTGAAATGTGTTCTGACTGGTCTCTGCCTGGGATGTTTCCTCCCTGAAACTGATCAAAAATTGATGTTTCCCACCACGGCCCCAGGTTTTATCGCTCGCAGTTCTTGGGTTGAGGTCCAGCTCTCTCTTATGTTGGTTTCACTTAAAAAATACAAAGTATTTCTACTGTAGAGACAATTTATACCTGCAAGGTGTGGATACAAACCAGGTGGAAGATGGATCTTTGTTCTCTTGGAGATGAGCTGGAGAACTTTGTGTCACAGAGTTTTGGGGATGCAGAAGGCTCAAGAGGAGAGTGGTTGGCTTTGTGGAAGTTCTCCCGTTAGGGATGAGCCAGGGAGGTGTTCTCTGTGAGAACACACAGTAAGGACATGGACCTGTTGGAGCAAGTCCAGATGAGCCACCAAGATCGTTGGAGGGATGGAGCTGTGAGGAAAGGCTGTGAGAATCTGGATTGTTCCACCTGGAAGAGAGAAGGCTCTGGGGTGGCCTTCCAGTATTTGAAGGGAGATACAGGAAAGATGAGGAGAGACTTTATAAGGGCTTGGAGGGACAGGAAAGGGGGAATGGCTTCATAATAACAAGAGAGTAGGGCTAGATTGGATATTAGGAGAGAATTATTCTCTGTGAGTGTAGGGAGGCCCTGGCACAGAATTCCCAAAGAATCTGTGGTGGCTGCCTCTGGATCCCTGGAAGTGTCCAAGGCTGGACAGGGCTTGGAGCAGCCTGAGATAGTGGGAGGTGTCCCTGTCCATGGCTGAGGTTTGGGATGATCTTTGAAGTTCCTTCCAACCCAAACCATTCTGAGATTCTGTGAAAGTAAATCCAGAGCCAGACTGGCAAGTGGATGTGAGAGCACTGAGGAGCAATGTGTGTGTTTGTGGTGGTTTCTCACTGTCATTTGGCTGCCTGGAAGGTGACAGAAAGGGACATTTAGTTGAGCCTGGTATGGGAATTTCTTGCTTAGACTACAAGTTGTTCAGTGTGTGTGTGTGTGGGTAGAGGGATAGATCACAGAATCCCAGTGATTTGGGTTGGAAGAAACCTTAAAGGTCATCTCTTTCCTTGCCATGGACAGGGGCACCCTCCCCTAGACCAGTTTGGTCAGAGTCTGTTTGGGGTTTGTTTTTTTTTGTTTGTTTTTAGGGGAATGCTAAATGATAGAACTGTAGAAGAGGTGATTTTCTGGAATAGGGAGGACACCAGAATTAGGGTTTTGCAGTGCCTGAGCACCATTATCAAAGTGGAGAGTTTAACCCCCATTCCTTCCCATGCTTATGCCTTTTTTTAATTCCATGTGGAGAAAAATGGTTTTGGAGGTGAGTTTCTGGGCTCTGGTCCCCCATTTGGAACTTTTGATCCCTCTAACACTTCAAAACTAACATTTCATTGCTAGAACTTCCCAGCTTTTCCTTTCTCAAGGGAAAAGGCCAGAGACCTGAGGGTAGTGTAAATCTCTGTGAATAGAGGCACTATTCCACGTTTTATGGAGACTTTTGTTAAGGGTGAGAGAACCTATTTTTTTCTCTCTAATCTGCAAGGATTGAACATTGAAACAATACTCTGCTTCAGAAGGACGTAGTTTTAATTCATTCAGTTAATTGTGGGGGAGGAAGAGTTTGGAAGCAGCTCATGGGAATGGATCTGCTTTCTTTATAAGGGTTTTGAGGCTTACCATACCTTCCTCATTCAAAGTAGTCACTTCTCATTCTGTGTTCATAGCTCACAGCATATGGAATAACACTGCAGTTTTAATTGTACAAAGTAAATTTAAGGATAGGTTTTTAAATACTTTTGTTGTAGGTACTTAGTTGCGACTTTAATGTCTACTTCAAAGAAATGCTTATGAGCAGACCTGAAAGTTGGGTAGTGCTTGAGGACCAGCAAAGAACAAGCTCTGGTGTTTGTTTTATTAAAAAAACAAACATGTGGTGGGTAGAAAATTAATGCTTGTTTTATTAAAGAAAATTAAAACTTGGGGTGGTACTATTATTTCCTGAGGTTACATGGGAAAGCAAGTTATAATGAGGTGTGGGAATGGGTGAAAGTTCTCTAATTAGGCTTTGATAACAATGCTTTTTATTTTTCAGGGCAAATGACCCAGCTTTGTGAACTGATCAATAAAAGTGGAGAGCTGCTAGCAAAAAATCTTTCCCATCTGGATACAGTGCTCGGTGCCCTGGATGTACAGGAACACTCACTAGGTGTTCTTGCTGTCTTGTGAGTGTTGCTTGCTTTTAATTAAATACTAAAATTTCAGGCAATGAGCTGAACTCTCTGCCAAGCAAAGTGTTTTGTTCTGGCTCTGGCACAAGTTACTTGGAGAATCTGTGGCTGCCTCACTCCTGGAAGTGTCCACAGCCAAGCTGGATGGGGCTTGGAGCAACCTGGGATAGTGGAAGATGTCCCTGCCCATGACAGGGATTGGAGCTGGATGGGCTTTAAGGTCCCTTCCAACCCAAACCATTCTGGGATTCCATGATAAGTGTTTTTCCATATATGTTCAACAAAAAGATACAGAATGAGCATTTAAAACTTTATTTTCAGGGCATTAATACACTGAACTGTAAGCATGGAGCAAGATGTTTTATTCCAGTAAAAAACAGGCTTTTATCATGGGTGTTTGTCTTTAGACAGCAGTGAGGCTTTTGCTGCTGTCTGGAGTTTAAGATAAAACTTGAGTTGCCTTGGGGATGCTGAACTATGGTAAAGATATTTAGTCTTGAATTCAAACTGGCTGTATCTGACTTCAAGTGAACTATCTGCAGGTTCCACTGCTATTTTAAAATTCTCTTTTAAGGGGAAGATCAGAATTCTAGTACTTGTCCTACTACTCTTTTGAAACAAAATACTGATAGTACTGAAAATGATCTTTGCCCTTGTATTTTGCACTTAATTGAGAATAGAAAGGCGTTTTTAAATGTTGTTCTACAGCTACTGGGGAAATCCTATGCCATGTCTCAGAGGCACTTTGGATTTGTTGACAAGCACGTACATGCAGGGACTTAGCAATGAAAATGAATCTTTTTAATGAACCTCCAAGAAATAAATGCTAAAATTTTTGTTTCTTTGTTTCAGGTTTGTGAAGTTTTCTATGCCCAGCATCCCTGACTTCGAAACGTTATTCTCACAGGTGCAGCTTTTTATCAGCACTTGCAATGGAGAACACATTAGATATGCAACAGACACTTGTAAGTTAAGCCTCATTTCAGACTTGATATATTTTTTGATAGTTTGATAATACTGATTTTTCACTGAGGTGTTTCTTTTTTTGTTTGTTTGTTTTTTACTGTGTTTAGTTGCTGGCCTGTGCCACCAGTTAACAAATGCCCTTGTGGAGAGAAAACAGGTGAGCAAGTACAAATAAGCTACTCCATACCCAAGGCTTAAAGGGGATGTCACCAGCCTCTTACTCTATAAAGATTTACCACTAACTTCACATCAAGTGTTTCTGTGCAGCTCTTTAGTTGTTAAGTTTACTGAAATGTAATGAACCAAACTCAAAACTCGAAGATTTCTCTAAGGAAAACCTAAGGAAGATAATTCTGGGGGGAGAAAAGTCACCTAAAAACATGTTCTCCCACACAGAATAGGAGGTCTGTAGTACCAAGAATGTTTTTCAGACAAAGTGTGCATGAGTAGAGGAGGGAGCTGCAAGGGTTATTAGCACTGGTGAGTCAGTGATTTTAGTTTCAGTGTTATTCTCACTTATGTTACATAATATTCTTAATGAAATGCCTTAAAATGTGCAGGAAACTTGATTAAGAAGTCCTTGACCAGTGGTTTTGTTGCTAAAATCCCGACTTTTTCAGGCCACTTTGGTGAAGTCTAGTCTGAGACAGACCAGATTTGATCTCTACTTTTAAGTGGAGTGAAGTGACTCTACCTGACTTTAGTATTTCTTGAGAGTTGAGATGGAGTCATGGAGGCAAGGAAGGTTTTCTTACTGACACAGATTACTGTATTCCTGGTGAGATTGGCTTTGTAGAGCAGAATTGATGACTTCATCAGGAGAAATTATATAGCCAAGGTTAATTTTATTGTCCAAGAGACTGCCATATCCTACAAAAAGGGAACCTCAAGTTAACTATTACTTAATCGAACCTGTCAATTAGTGTTATTTTTCATTTGTAAGTGTCAACATAAGATCCAATGTGCTGCCATCTATGAGAAATTATCTGAAAGAGATGTAATTTCTGACAGCCCCTGCGAGGAATTAGCATTCTCAGACAAGCCATAGACAAGATGCAGATGAACACAAACCAGCTGACCTCAATACATGCAGATCTCTGCCAGGTAAGGGGATCAGAAAGGCTTTTTGTGAGAGTAAAAGGTTATAAAATACCTATAAACCTTCAAGGAAATGCATGTTCACATATTGCAATGTAAGAATGGATTTTCAACTGGATTTTTATTTGGTTGGGTTTTTTTTCCAGTAGTAAATAATATGATATACTGAAATAAAATCCAAATCTGATATACAGATTCATTACTAATTTTAAATGTTCAGTGCTTGTCCTCAGATCTTTGATTTTGTTGATGACTTCAGAAAGTCCTTTAACATCCCTTCTCTGTGGGCTGAAAGTCACACTGAACTTGGGTGGTGTCAGTGTAATATCCAGCTACTGTGTCTGCTCAAGTCTGACAAAAGACTTGTTTGTCTCAGTGTCTTTGGCCTGGATTTGTGTTTCTGTCTCATTCTTGGCTCCTGGGATTTAGGCTTGGACAGGAATGTTCAATATTTTTTGTTGCCAGCACAGTAGTCTGGCAGTCCTGGAGTTTCAAACAGCTTTGTCAGAGTTTAATTTCTTTAGGAGTCAGATAATTTTATAACAATTCATAATCTGTGTTAAAGATTTTCAACCTTTGTTACTCCACCACTGACATTCTATTTTTTAACTTATGCGAATGATACTTATGCAGTAATACTAATTAATTTAGTTTCAATTTCTTCTCATGGAAATTCAAATGGAAATGGCTAATTTATGAAAACTTGATTTATTTTCTTGTAGCTCTGTTTGTTAGCAAAATGCTTTAAACCTGCCCTCCCGTATCTAGATGTGGACATGATGGATATTTGTAAAGAGAATGGGGCATATGATGCGAAGCACTTTTTATGTTACTACTACTATGGTGGGATGATATACACTGGGCTAAAGAACTTTGAAAGAGCACTCTACTTTTATGAACAGGTAACTTGAAATGAAATTATAAGTCTGAATTGTGATGTCTGAAAAGGCAAAAGTAGATGTGTAACAGTGCTGAGAAAACACAGCACCTTTGAACTGCCACAAGAAAACTGTCTTTGGAGGTGTTTTCCTTTAAGAAAGTCTCTCACAGCCTCATTGCTCTGTAAAGCTGTGCAGCTCAAAGGGTGATGTTAAATTTATCTCACTATAAATATTTTTCAGCTGCCTGCTTGAAAGTGCAGCACAGAAACAGGTCACAGGCTGACACACGGTTGTGTGTCCTTAAAAAACAGTCCAGTGGTTTTGCTAAGGCCTTTCTGCTTTTATGAGAGGAGTTATGCTTCTTCAGTGCTGTTATAATATTTGCTGGTTTTGCTTTATCTGGGGAGGGAATAAAAATATTAAAATCGGGGAAATCTTGTATATGAGGGAAATGCTGTGAAATGTGCAAAACAAGTTGGTGCAGCATTTTTCTTTTTTGTAAATTAGGGTCAGCTCTTGAGTAGTTCCAGTATCACAGTGAACTAAAATCCCTTTTCCCTATTCTGCACACCTCTGATAATGTAGCAGCTGTATAAAACCTGTTTGAGGGTCTGTGTAAATCCAGGTTCACGAGTAGCTACAGGTGATTTCTGGTACAACTTTCGATATATTCCAAGGAAGGAAGTTTTGATTCTATCTGAGCAGGGCTCTTTTAAGAGAGACACTGCTGTAACGTGATATGTTTTGAGTAGCTTGTATAAAATTTCCCTTTTTTGGAGTATGTCTGGGTAATTGATTTTGACAGAAGTTAGTGAAGCTTCAGCGCTCAAAGGAGAATTTCATATGTCACTGTATCCTTTCTACATGCAGCTTGAAATTGAGTTTTTTGTTCATGTACCAGGATCTACCAATAAGAAGACTAAATTTCTGTTCCATTTCTTTCTCTCTTGCTTAGGCAATAACTACTCCAGCCATGGCAGTCAGTCATATTATGTTGGAATCATATAAAAAGTATATCCTAGTTTCTTTGATACTGCTTGGTAAAGTTCAGCAGCTACCAAAATACACTTCGCAGATAGTTGGTAGATTCATTAAGGTAAGTATTGCAAATGCATCTAAATAATAGATCAACAAATCTGAATTTGTAAATGTGCAACAGTGGAAGGTGCCATTGTCCATGGCAGAGGTTTGGAATAAGATGAGCTTGAAGGTCTCTTCCCACCCAGACCATTCTGTGATTGTATGATGTCAGTGATACAGGTTTTTAAGATTTGAGAAAACCAGTGTTGAATAGTACTAATCAATATTCCTTTCACTGATACTGAACATTCCTTTATAGCTTTTTATGTCAGAATTTAAAGAATACTCAGATTTCAATTGGCTTTCATGCTGCAGTGTCATTAGGAAAAGATTTGACCTGTAACTTCATCTGACTGAAGCACAAAATACTAAACAGTTTATTCCAAACCCCCAGCTTTTTAAAGAAAAAAAGCTTCTGAAAAAACTGCAAGTTTGTAGTCTGTAAGCATTCAGATTAGGAGGTGTAGGGTGGGAGACAAAACTGCTACTCAGAGAGTTCTGATCTTAAGTAACACACTTCCAAAAGTTAGTTCTTATTCAACACTGAGTTTGTTCATTTGTGACCAAAATTCTAGAGAGTTCTAAAATTCTTCTAACTCCAGAGACTAATAAACAAGCTGAAAACATTTTGATGTAGTTTAGGTGAACTGGTGTCACCCTCTGAGTCTGTGCTGTGACCTCATCTGGTCAAGGATGGACAAATACAATGGATGGGCAGTTACTGGCAATACTTACCTCAAACTCAGCTGGTCAGTTGAGAGAGTTTTTTCACACTGCTTAAAGTAAAACTGTCACACAGAGGTCCTGGAATGATGTTTATTAAATGTTACACTGCAGATTTAGTGTGTGAGGGTCTGTAATTGCCATAAAACCATGTATGGACACACTGTCTTTTTTATGAGAAATGCCCAAGCTACTTACATTTATTTCAATGCCTGCATGGCTTCTAATGTTGGAGCACTGAATAGATTTTGTGAGGCTGGATGAACACTGTGTTCTTTAAGAAGGGTTCTCATTTTTTTAATTGCAGCCTCTTAGCAATGCTTACCATGAATTAGCACAAGTTTATTCAACCAATAAACCCTCGGAGCTTCGAAATCTGGTGAACAAACACAGTGAAACTTTCACAAGAGATAACAATATGGGGCTGGTTAAGCAATGCTTGTCATCTCTCTACAAAAAGAATATTCAGAGGCTAACCAAGGTAAGAGAAACTCTGAGCAGTTTTTCTCTAAGAGTGTATTTCTGAAATATATTCACTTTAGAGCTAAATGATGACATAGTAATGTGGAAGAGAAATGACTAAAACTGAGATTTGTGTCTGAAACAAAGGAGCCTAGAATGCCCTGTGTAGGAAAACAAATCAGTTGGCCTGCTTATGCATTATTTAAAAGCTGATTCAATCTGTCTGTCAGGTGGTTTTCCCATGAGCTTTTTGTAGATAATAAAAAAAGTGAGCGCTGTAACCCAGTGACCTTCATCTCTATTCAAAAAATAGGAAAACTGAACTTTACAGGCCACTTCATTAGAAAAGATTGAGTGAATAGGACAGATTTTGGAAAAATAAAAGGACAAACCAGAAGCACTAAAGTGATTTGCTCCTTCAGCTGAAAGATCAGATTAATCCTGAAAAGTGATTGGGGAAAGCAGGGTTTTGGTTTTTTGCAAGCTCAAATGATATTTGTTGCAGTAGAAAAAAATCTCATGAAGAGCTGTGTATGTGCATCTCTTGAAGGAAATTCAAGGGGTGGAGAGTCACCTTTTTGTGTAAAAAGGTGAGGGAATGACGTTGGGTATGGTCAGGACTGTCTGGTGTGAAATAAAATTGCAGGAATGAGTGATGACTCCATACGTGCTCAGTGTAACAAATTAATGTCTGGAGGAAGAACTGACTCACTCTCATGAGCACTTTAATAATTGTGTGTTCCACTTGCTCCTTCCCATCAGACTTCCACAGCCAGGTTACATAGGCCATGAGGCATCAACAAGAAAATCCTTAACATGCAGTTGATTTAACACTTTAAAACTTTCTAAATTTCAGACATTTTTAACATTGTCATTACAAGACATGGCAAGTCGAGTGCAGCTGTCAGGGCCCCAAGAAGCAGAAAAATACGTCCTCCACATGGTAAGACCTCTGACTTGGTTAAACTATCCCAAAATTAGTGTTTGGGTTGGTAGTGCACATCCTGAGCAGTTCTTTTTCAGGGTGGAGGAAGTGCTGGCAGTCTGCTGTGGTGTTGAGACTGTTCTCAAAAAATCTAAAAAGCTGTTCTTCATGTAAAATAAGGTGGGAATCATGTTTTTGGGAGCCTGTGGGAAATAAAAGCAACCAAGTTAAAGACAATTCCACAAAGTCTGTGTTATAGTTACCTGAAATTCTGTTCTTGGTGATAACTTCTATTAAACCCTCTGTCATTTCAGATAGAAGATGGTGAAATCTTTGCAAGTATTAATCAGAAAGATGGTATGGTCTGTTTCCATGATAATCCTGAAAAATATAACAATCCAGCTATGCTTCATAACATTGATCAGGAGGTAAATCTTTTACTGCTTTTGGAATTCCTACCAAAGAGCCTTAGTCTGTAATCAGAGAGCTGCTAGCAGAAGCCAATGTAGTAACTTAGATATAGAGTGAGGACTGTAAATCACTATATTTGACTATTTCACAGTATTTTCATGGGTTTTAGATTAATATTCTCTGTCACTATGTTCCCTGTTGTGTCCTGCACAGCCTGAGCTGTTTCAGGAGACTGACTGCTTGCTAGTGGTGATAGGAAGATCTTTGAATGAATTAGAAACATTGATTTTAGAGTTTTAAACTTCAAGGATCACTTCCATTGGCTCTCAATAACCTGCCTGTAGGTTAAGGTGGTTGAGCCTCATGGGACTGTCTGTCAATGGCCTTAAAAAGGCATGGATCAAAGGAAAGAAATGAAAAATAGTCTAACACTTTTGTTTGGGAGGTGAGACATGAGAACATTTTGATGTGTAACTTTAGTGGTGGCAAAAGTTACTTGTTCTACATGGCAGAGCCATGAAATGTCTTGAAGATCAGGTACAAGCTGGACAAAGTTAACAATTTCATACATATTTTTAAGATGCTGAAATGTATAGAGCTTGATGAACGACTGAAAGCCATGGATCAAGAGATCACTGTGAACCCTCAGTTTGTGCAGAAGGTAATGGATTTAATGTCTTGTAAGAGATTCATTCAATGCAGTGTGTTGTACTGAATGTCAGTATTTACAGTGTTGTTATTACACATTATTAATAATATGTGCATAAACATCATGACACATCATAATTTATTATTTTTGAAGGTGCTTTTTCCTAATTAATCCTGCAGTGATTTCAACCAGAAAATTAAATGCATGTTATTTCATAGGCACTTTATTTTCCTGCCTGTTCACTTCACAGAACTGTCTTTCCCAAGCCTGCAGACCTGTTTCTGAACAGAGCTAACTCTTTCCCTTTCAGAGTATGGGCTCTCAAGAAGATGACTCAGGGACCAAACCATCCAGTTATTCTTGAAATTAATGTTGCTCACCACTCCGCTTTCAAGTAAAAGCTTATGAAAGAATCACGCCTGGAACAGGGCATTGAGGAGTTCCACGAAGAGAGCAGAGAGAACTGACCTTTGCTTTTCACCTGGACATTAAGAAAATAAAAGAACACCCTCTCAGTACTGTATAATATCAGAAATATTCTCTGCAAAGAAAAAGGAAATCTCAAAAGAAACTTGAAAGTCTGTTGTGGATTTATTTATCTTCAGATTAACATTGTTAATGCATTAAATAATCTACCTTTTGTTTTAAAGGGTTTGAATGTTGCCGTGTTTCTGTAGCAGTCCTTCTCTTCTGCAAAAACAAAAGTGTTATTCAGGGAAGAATACAAACTAGTGTTGGTTCACTTGCAAGATAATTATTGGTTCATTATTCTGTATTTAAAGTTGGCTCAAAGTGCAGATTTATCGTATGTGTGGTGGGGGCAGAGGGGTGGAGTTCGAGCAAATCATAATATAGAGAATTTGCCTATGCCCAATGTAGCTGGTGCTGTCTGTTAAATGAGGAAAGAACTGTTCTTCCCAAAAGGATGAGGATATCAGCGTGTCCTTGTAAGGAAATTTGCTGCAAAGTAGGAATCATATATGGAAAACATACATGACAGCTGTTTATGATTTCAAGTTTCTGGTACAAAATATCTGCTAATATTATTTGCTCTTAGATGAAACTTTTTAGACCTAAACAAAAGGATATTTGGAAAACGTTGGTGTTCTGGAGGATTCTAGATAGGAAGTTGTTTACACTGAAAGAAATTTAAATGTTTGTTCCTGTGCAACTGGCATGAAGGTATTCAACAGGCTGATAGTTTCTTTGATGGAAACTAATATTTCTGCATGGAACATAAATATAATTCTATACAGCTCTCAAAATGCAGGATTTTATTCAGATATAACGTGTTGGAATGGTACCTGGTTTTTAATTTACTATTTTAAACTTTAAAACTTTGTTACTGGATTCTTTAAAGTGCTTCACCCCTTAAATCAACGGGCTGTTTAATTTTCTGTCGTTCTCGTGTATCTGAAGATTCTCACTGTTCAAATGCCTTCCTGTCAGGCAGAAATAAACCTGTCATCAAGTCAGAAAACAAGAAACTCAGCAGCCACTGCTTCCTACTGAAACACCTCACCAGGAGCTGCTTGCTCCTGCTGTCCTGCCAGCTTGTTTCCAGGTGGGAACTGAGCATTCCTGCGTCTTGCTGTGTGAAGTTTGTATGTATTGAGGTCACCTGTGGTATTGAAAATATTCCATTTGTGCTTCCAGTGCTGATACAGAAGTGTTGGGGTTTTCACTTGGTGTCCCAAGTCTAGCAGAGCCTCTGTGACAGCAGGGCGCTGCTTACTGGTGAAGAGAGGTGTCCCAGGTTGTGGTTGGTGGTGAAGGATGCTTTTAAAAGTATAAAATAGCAGTTTAGTATTGAACACTGGAGGTCCATAGTGTGAGCAGCTCATCACTTCCTGCCAAAGAGAATTCCATTGGGACAACGTTTATATCTGATCTTTAAGCAAAATCTTGGGGTTCTTCATAACTCACTTTATGAATCTTGTAACGCAGATCTATGATTTTAAAGGTTTTTATCCTAATTAATGCTGAACACACACACTTTTCCCCTCTGGTCACATGGAAATGTTAAATGAGTAGTGATGCTGTGGCTTGAGTTAAAAGCAGGGTGGTTGTTACTACCATGTGTGGCACTCACAGAAGGGACTGCAAACAACTCACCCCAAATCCCAGCCCTCCAGAAATGTGCCTGACTCAACTCTCCTTGCCAGTGGCTTCCTTGCCAGGGGAAAATGTATTCAGGATGCTGTCATGGAGTTGGGAAAAAAACAGGAATGTCCATTTTTACACTACTAGTTCCTGTTAGTGAGGATGGATTTACCTGCTGAGAGCTGCAGGATCGTTTTCCAGCTGTGGAACTAGAATCAAACTAATCTAGGCAGGTGGTGAATAGCTCTAGATTTTTCTCTTCTTTTTTGTTTCCTAAAGCAGGTAAAACAAATCCATGCTCGCATCAAAAGGATGGCAAAAACAGCTGTGTAATAGTTTCAAGTGATATATCCCATTAAATATCTGATTTTTAAGAGGGCAAATGCTTTTAGAGAACTGCTGAGGTTCCTTTTCTGGCGTGGATAGTTGTGCTGTTAATGTCTGAATTCTGTTAGAAATTCAAAGTCAGGTCTCACCTGTAGAATCAGTAGATAAAACATTCACCAGAAGTGCTCCGGGGAAGGGCTTTTAAATCCTAGTTTGATAAACACACGTGGTCTGGCATCTGCATGTCTTGAGATAGCGCTGAAATTAAGTCAGATTTTTAATGAAGCAGCTCCTTCCAAGTCTTGGAACTAAGTGCCTGGGCTGTGGTCAGCTGAGAGGCTTCGAGAACACTTGGGCTTTCTGGTTTTAATTTGTTATTTACTGCAGGGAAGGACTTTTGCTCAAATCTAGGAACACTGCGTGCTGTGCTGCTCCCGACTTGGACTCTCAGAGATCCTGTGGCTGTTTCTTCCCATCGGACACAGTCACAAGATGTGTCCAGGGAATACTGAGTGCATGCTTTGATATCTGACTCCGATTTTGATGCATTTTAATTAGCACAGACACAAAATGCACTTCTGTGGGCAGCGTTAGATGTGCAGCTGCAGTTCATAGCCACAGGAGGGGTCTCTAGGCCAGTCACTGATATTTAGAAATGTTTCTGAGAAGGAATGGTTGGAAGCTCTTTGTGTACAACCCCCACTCCTGTTTTTGTGCCACTGAGGAGCCCCAGTGCGTGACCTCTGCTGAGCCATCGTTCCCTGGCGTTAACTCCAGCTGCTTCCTTCTCCACAACTTCCCTGTGTGTCCCACAGCACAGCCACAGCCCCGTGTTTGTGTTGTCATAGGTGATCTGTATAACCTAGGAAATGTTCTCTGCGTGGCCACACTGGCCCAGGTTAGTCCTGAGAAGTTGTTTAAGTGTACTATTGGAAAATAAAGATAACAAACGAGTCATTCTTAGTTTGTCTTAAATGAGATTGTAGGTATTTTGTATTTGGGGTTTCCTTAGTTTTTTGGGGGGGAATTTTTGTTCTGGTTGCTTTTTAGGAAGTGATTTTGCCTGCTATGTGTGGCAGTGCCCTCTACTCCAGAAGTGTTCAAGCCCTGCTGATGGCTTCCCAGAGCTCTCAGAGTAGAAATAATTTTAATTATTAATCTTTCTTTAGTGTCTTTCTTGAGAAGTGCTGCTGCTGCAGGTCCTTGTCTGAGATGGCCTTTGGGATTTTGGATGGAACGCTTTTATTCTGAGCAACCTGGTCTAGTGAAGATGTCCCTGCCCATGGCAGGGGGTTGGAATGGGATGGGTCATAAGGTCCTTCCAACCCAAACCAGTCTGGGATTCGTGTCTGAACTCTGTGTTTCTCTAATAATCCATCTTGCTGACCATCTGACTATTGCTTTAATCGGAGACACAGTTATCAGTCCACGTGTGGCTGCTTGGATCCAGAGGTGTGTCTTACAGTGGTATCAGCAATAGCTGCTGTTTCTTGGGATTAAAGTACAAGTTTTACTCGATTGAATAATCTATGCTGTTATCTTCTTGAAAACTTACTACTTTTGTTCAGATTCAGGTATTAAAAACTCTGTAAGGGGCAGGGAGGATTCTGGTTATTATTTTGAAGCCTAATAGTTCAAAGGGAGTTTGGTTTAGCTTTCCGTCATAGATTCCTTGAGGTAAATAATCCTTTAATACTTAAACTTGATACCCTGAAGAGAAAGAGGAGTAGTTTAATGGAAATGAAGAGCCTGAACAGGTTTAACTTGGGCGTTTGCTCCCCTGCCATTCCCGGGCTGTACCTGTGCAAACAGCTCCACGGAGCTCCTTTGCAAATCGACAACACTTCGAAACCGTCCTCTGCCATAATCTTACATTCTAAGCACTTTAAGGAAGTAAGACAGACAGAAGTAAAGGAGAAGTCGCGCCGAGCCTGCGGGGAGCACGGCACCGCCCTGAGGAGAGGAAAAGTCACGGGAAGGGGCTCTGCGACAGCCGATGGCGAAGCTCGTTACCGCGGCCCCATCCCGGTGCCGGTGCTGGTCTCGGTCACGGTCGCGGTTCCGGGGGCTCCGGTCGCGGTTCCGGGGGCTCCGCCCGCGGCCACCCCGGCTCCCCTCCCAGAGCCAGTGGGTCACGTGACCCACCACGCGGCCCGTACCAGCCCGCGGGGGGAGCGAGGCCCGCTCCCGGTGTGGCAGCCTCCGGTGTCAGGCTACCGCTCGTCCCTTCTCGTGTCCCCTGTGATCGGACACCACTTCTTCCGCTCTGCGCTGTAAGAGCTGGGCAGGTGCAGCGCGGAAGGCGAGGAGCCGCCTTCCAGACCTCTTCATGCCCCCCCTCTCTTGAGGTAATGGCTCCGCCCGGCCCCTGTGGACAGGGCGGCCCTGGGCCGAGCCACTGCAGCAGCCGGGGAGGTGCCGGCTCCCCGGGAGAGCGGCGGGACGACCGGCCCAGTCCCGCGGTACGAACGGGCTTCTCATCTCTCGCTCTTCTCCCTCATTCTCCATCTAATCGCTTCTCCGCGGCGGCGGCGAGCTCGCGGGCGAGGAGCTGTCTGTCCCTGTCCCCCCCCAGCTGGGTGTGGGGATGGTACGGGCGGTGGGTCAGTTGGTGTCAGGCGCCCGCGGACACGGGACGGGCCGGGGGAGCCGCGGTGAGCGGGGGCTCCGGGCACGGGGAAGCGGGACAGGCCGGGACTGACCGGGCACGGGGAACCGGACACTGGGCCCGGTGGGACACGCCGGACCAGGTCCGGCAGGGCCTGAGGCGTTCGGGTCCGTGGGCGCTCAGCAGGGCCGACCCGTTCCGGCCTGAAGCTCCGGGCATGGGGGTCTGGTCTGTGCGACCTCAGCCTTGATCCAGAGGAGGCCACCAAGTTGATCAGAGGGGAGGAGCACCTCTCCTTTGAGGAATGGCTGGAAGAATTGGGACTGTCCAGCCTAGAAAGGAGAAGGCTTCGGGGTGACTTAATTGTGGCCTTCCAGTACCTAAATGGAACTTACAAGAAAGACAGGACAAGACTATTTACAGGAGTCTGGAGTGATAGGAGAAGGGGGGACGGCTTCAAGCTGACAGCAGGGTTAGTGGGATATTGGGAATAAATTTGCCCTGTGAGGGTGGGGAGGCCCTCCACAGGTTTCCCAGAGAAGCTGTGACTGCCCCTGGATCCTTGGAAGTGTCCAGGTTGTAGTGGATGATTTTCAAGGTCCCTTCCAACCCAAACCATTCCGGGATTTTCTGAACCTCTCCCTGTGAGCCTGGAGGTATCTGGGCGTGAGGAATTGGTCCAGCCCCATTCACCCCCGTGGGTGTCCTGGCTCAGCATCCAGGATCTGGACATGGTTTGGGTAGCTCGATCTGGGTTGGGTTGCTCGAAGCCATCCCATCAGCAAACAGAAGGCTGGTCCTGGATCAGGGAAATGCCCAGGGAGGTGTTTAAGGAAAGACTAGTCATGGCACTCAGTGCTCTGGTCTGGGTGACAAGGTGGGGATTGGTCACAGTTTGGACTTGATGGTCTTGGAGGTCTCAGGCTGAGGCTGAGCTTAAGGCCAGCTGCAGAGCAGGAGTGGCACCAGTGAGGCCTGAGAGATCCCGTGGTGTCCCATGTGCTGACCGTGTGCTCTGCCCCTGGCTGCAGGAGGCCTGGCGGCTGTGCTGAGCCCTCACTATGAACGCCATCGTTGCCCTGTGCCATTTCTGTGAGCTCCACGGCCCTCGCACCCTGTTCTGTACCGAGGTCCTGCACTCGCCGCTCCCGCAGGGCGCTGGCAGCGAGGACATCTCCGGGCAGAATGAGCAGGCGGAGGAGGAGGAAGGTGGGATTCAGATGAGCAGCCGGATCCGCTCGCACAGCCCGGCTGAAGGAGCCAGCGCCGACTCCAGCAGCCCAGGGCCAAAGAAGTCAGACATGTGTGAGGCAAGTGTGAAAATCTCTCTGTGGGCATCAGTGCCCTTGGCTTGGCTAAAGGGCTCTGGGGTTCTCTGATGCAAATTGAATTGTTTAGAGACAAATAAAAACGTGAACAGCGCTTGTTTTGTATGTGTCAGT